AGTCAGCAAACCCAGCACTAGGTTTGGCTTCCAGCTCTCGAGACTGCTGGTTCTCTTGCTAGTAGTTTTCAACCTTGGCTGGGCATTAAAATTAACCTGATATATTTTTAAAGTCCTGATGCCTGAACATCAACTGACTTCTCTGTGGTGAGACCAAGACATCTGTATTTTTTCACAGCTCCCCAGGTGATTCCAATGTGCAGCTAAGGTTGAGAATCATAGACTTAAATCTTCCCTTTATACATTGATTAATTCTTTCAGCACAGGATGATGAAGTTTTTCACCACCTGAAATATTGTTTATAGTCTACAGTCAGTAATTCACATCAAGGACTTGCACTCCACAAATATGTGATTAAAAGGCAAAATATTGGCTGGACACGGTGGCTCATGCCTGTACTGAGTTGGGCGGATCACCTGAAGTCAGGAGTTGGAGTCCAGTCTGACCAACATGGTGAAACCTCATCTCTACTAAAAATACAAAATTAGCTGGGCATGGTGGCACATGCCTATAATCCCAGCTACTCAGGAGGATGAGGCAGCAGAATTGTTTGAACCCAGGAGGCGGAGGTTGCAGTGAACCAAGATCGGGCCATTGCACTCCAGCCTGGGCAACAAGAGTAAAACTCCTTCTAAAAAAAAAAAGAAGAAGAAGAAAAAAAAAGGTAAAATATCCACCAAAGACAGGACTCAAGTTTTAAATGATAATAATAATAATAATAGTAATAGTAAAACAATCAAACAGAAGCCATTCCTTTGTAATATCTTTCATATCTAAACCATCCTCAACCAGGATGCTGCCAATCATTATACTAAAAAAAAAGAAAAAGAAAAATGTAGCCTTATCATTGAGAATGCTCAGCAGCTCACAATTGCCTATGTAAACCAAAAAATAATTATAAGCACCCCACCAACTGAATGGAGTTCTCTTGGCCAAGAGGACCCCAAAGCAACCTGAAACATTAGTTCAGGCAGTGATCACAAGGCAGGAGTCAGGCATACCTACTTAGACCCGCCTCCTGTGGGGTCTAGGCACAGCTGACCAGCATTAACATTAAAACAAAGATTGTAAGACTGACAAAACAGACTCACTGTAGCCATAAGATACTACACTCTAACCTGACTCTGATGGAAAACATCACATGACAGATAGCAGCCCTGAAGGAAATCTCAGTATTTTACCCCAAAATACATTTTATTTGACATGTTTTGAAATGGCCATGCAAAGTCATCTCTTATGGGGAAAATTTGCATTCTGTTAAGAATCCCTTTCTCCTTCCAGGTCTCTTCTTGATCCAGGAGAGATTTAACTCTGAGTCTGACACCTTCTAAGAGATATTTTCTGTCTACTCTCTCCGAAGCCTCTTACCTTACCTGGAGGCTTCATCTATATAACAACCACCTTGGCATCCACAATCCTACTTACCTACTCAAGCATTTCCTTATGCTGACTTGAAGTCCTCAGACAAAGCTTAATTCTTTTAACCAATTGCCAATCAGAAAATCTTTGAATCCAATTGTGACTTGGAAGCCCCCCTTCCCTTTGAGATGTCCCGTCTTTCTGGGCTGGACCAATCTGTTCCTCACATGTACTGGAGAGACAGAAGTTACAGGCAAAAGTTTATACATTTTAGGGAGACAAAAGTTACAGGGAAAGACATAAATCTTTCCCTGTAACTTTTGTCTCCCTAAAATGTATGAAACCAAGCTGTAACCCAACCACCTTGGGTACGAGTTCTCACAGCCTCCTGAGACTGTCATGAGCTATGGCCACTCATATTTGGCTCAGAATAAACCTCGTTAAATGTTTTAGAGAGTTTGACTTTTTTCATCAGCACAGACAATACTCAAACATCATGGGGTCCCTCATAGCCTGTCTTTGGCCTGCCCATGCAGCATTGTCTCCCAAGCCCACATTTTGCATACTCTGTCCCCCTAGACCCACCTGTCTTGTAACTTCATTGGCACATTTCCCTGGCCCTGGAAGATCCTCACCTGCTCTTTTCACTTGTTAAATTCTACTCCTTTTGAAGGCAGAGCTAAAATGCTACCTTTCTCATGAGACTTCATGGACTTCATTCCAACCCCCCATAAGGAATGAATCACTCTCTCTCCCTCTGCCCTAGCTTCCTCTGCCATGCACAGTATAGATAATTCTTTCATGACAGTTTTAATTAAAATTATATGTTTGTGTATCTGTAACCTTCTAGCAATATGAAATTCCACTGAGGGCAGGGGATATGCTGTATACATCCTGGACAAAACAGGCAAAATAAATGAATAAGTGGACATCAGGTTGAATTAACTGCACATGGCAGATACATGCTTGGTCCTCCACAATTGAGACTTTAGCCAATATGTGCTATTTGATTCCAAGATGCTTTCCCAGCCAACAGATTGAATTATATTTTCCCAGGAAGGTAGCTTTAAATCCATCAACTAAAATCATCATTATACATATTCCATGTTAATTCTCTGGGCTCATTAGCATGCCAGATAACTAGTGCTCCTGTGGAGGCAAGGCAGAGAGCAGGTTGTGTGGAGGAAAATCTCTTGTTTGTGGACCATCAGGTCGAGGGCTCCTGGGTACAGTCTGTTTGTGTCCATTGGGTGCTTCTCCCCCCATAAGATCTCCACCCCACGTCACACCTGTCTGAGTCTGTTCAAGAAGCTATAGTAGAACACCATAAATTGGGTAGCTTATAAACAACAGATTCATTTCTCATAATTCTGGAGGCTAGGAAGTCCAAGCTCAAAGTGCTGGCAGATTCAGTGTCTGGGGAGGGCTCATTTCCTGATTCATAGATAGTGCCTTCCAGCTGTGTCCTCATGTGGTGGAAGGAGGGGTGGGTCTCTCTAGGACCTCTTTATAAGGGCACTAATCTTATTCATGAAGGCTCCACCCCCATGACCTAATCATCTCCCATAGGCCCTACCTCCTAATACTATCAGGCTGGGGTTAAAATTTTAAAATATGACTTTAGTGGGGGACACAAACATTTAGACTCCTTTGTACCCATAAGTCTCACCCTCTAGGGTCAAAGCCAGTGAGCTGTTGATTATCTAATTATCCAGGGAAATACAAGCCGGGGGCAGAAGAATATAAAACTAACCCCTCCCAGCAGAAGCTCTTCTTCATGCACCCCACCTAGAAAGGCAGAATAGGGTAGTGCATGAGACCATGAGCTGTGAGACCTTGTCAGCTTCCTTCATCTTTTGTGCCTCAGTCCGTAATATGGAATGAGAAAAGTCAAAGTACCTCCCTGATTGCATCACTGGGAGGATGCAATGCATTAAAACGTATGCAGTGCTTTAAACATTGCCTGGCACGTAGCCAGTGCTCAGTAAATGTTTTACCTTCATCATTTATCCAGGTAGTTTCATTAAATGAAATCCACATGTGAAGTTTTCCTTTGCTCCCCCACCTCTCCCACTCACTGAGGAGGGTCTGCTGAATGAATTCCCTGGAGACCCACACATGGAAGCACGAGCATTGGCACCAGTTAGGAAGAGGTGCCAGAGAAGAGACAAGATGAGAAGGGGCAGGATCCTTATGCTGGACACTTCCTGAGCTGCTTTTTGCCACGTGGTCAGTGCTGTCACTGCTCTTTTCCAACAACCCCAGTGCCTGCCACCTCTGCTCCAGCCCTGCCCAGGCTCTGGACTAGTGAGAGAACTATATCTGGGAAATGAAGAGCCATGGGATATCACAGGATCCAGAAGGAGTCTGGTTGCCTCGACTACGGCTGAGTGGAGTCCTACCAGCCTTCTCTCTTTCCTTTTACCTATACCCATTCTCTCAGCCATTGTTCAACTCTAGTGAATATCTTATCCCTTGTCCATCTGAGAATTAATCATCCCTCAAAGCCCAGCCTGGAAATTATTACACAACCCTATCCTCTGAAAACCAGTAATTAAAGGATAAGAATAAGCATTTATCTTGCCTACATAGAAGGAACTGTAGTTGATCCCCAGTTGATGAGTGAACTTTCTTCCTTCTAATAGAATGTCAGCTGATACATGTAGAATGATAGAATTGGGAAATCACTATTTTGAAACCTCTAATGAAATTATTAATTCAGGTTCAACTCTTAGCGCAAACAAAATATTTAAAGGTGGCATAGTATCATCTGACAGATGATGGGAGATGATCTGCAGATGAGAGATGAGGCAATGGAGCTACCTAGCAGTTATTATCTTGGCATCTTTAGTGAAAGAAATTGTCACTTTGGACCTGAATCTCACCACGTTTTTAAATCTAACTTCTACTTTATGAAAAATACAGGACAGGGAAGAGCAAGTTAAGTGCTACCACATGGAAATAATCAGATAGGTTTATAATGCGGGATCACTGTATAGGACAACTGGTTTGTTTTCTTCCAAAAGTCAACACTAAAATATGTATAAATAGCAGCATTATTTATAATTGCCAAAAAATGGAAATGACTCAAATGCTCATCAACTGATAAATGGATAAATAAAATGTAGTATACAATGAATGCATAAATAAAATGTGCTGTATCCATAGAGTGAAATATCATTTGATGATAAAGGGAATGAAATAATGAAATATGAATGCATTCTAAAACATGATTAAACCTTGAAAACATTGTACTCAATGAAAGAAATATATCACAAAAGACCACACACTATATGACTGCATTTACACGAAATGTTCAGAATGGGAAAATCTATAGAGACAGTAAATAGATTAATGATTACCTAGACTTAGAAGGGGTGGATTGATGGAAATTGGGAAAGCAGGGTGATTGATAATGGGTACCAGGTTTCTTTCTGAGGTAATAAAAATGTTCTAAAATTCAGAATGCTTTGAATGCATTTAATACCATTGAATCGTACACTTTATATGGGTGAATTGTGTGGAATAAGAATTACATCTCAACAAAGTTATTTTTAGAACTATGTGTGTGATGTGCAGGGTGGGGGGGTGGGGGGGGGTGAGCTTTTTCATTAAAAGAGACAAAATAACCAAAGGCAACACATGAATCTTGATTGTATCTTCAATGGGTCCTGAATTTTAAAAGTTAGAAAGCTGTAAACATGTTTTGGGAACAAATTGGGGAGATTTGAATATGAATGAAAAGCAGGCTGGGAGCAGCCAGAACACACACAAGAAAGGCACTGGAGAGGAGGAGAAGAGGGCTTCCAAGCAGAGCAGAAGCCCAGTGGGATAGGAAGACGGGCACCATTCCAGAGAACTGAGGGTAAGTAAATAACCAGAGGATGACAGTACACAAGTTTCCTACTGATAGAGAAAGCAGGGACCAACACAGACAAAAGGAAAAGCCAGAATGAACCCTGTGATGTTATACTGGACCGAGTGGCATCTGTGAAAATTCCCGGTTGGAAATGTAGTTGTAAATGTAGATGTAAATAACCTAGCTCTGTCCACTGAGAAGGTCTGGAAGCAGCTAAACCCTAGTAGTACTGAGCATACCTACAACGCGGATCTTGGTTCTAAATAGCATTTCCTATTCAAATGAACCAAGGTTTGTTAGAGAACTGGCTGATTACAGGACTGAGGAAGGAAAAGAAGAAAATCATCCTGAACGTCTAGCTGCATAAGAAAAGAAACTTTAAAAAAATACAGGAAATGTCAAAAGCACAAAAGCTGAGCCGAAGGGGTTCCCAAATGTGGGAAAATTCGAGTTTCAAAATAAATAATAATATTAGCAGACTAAAACCCATTGAATAAAGTAGACATCTATGAGTCTACACCAATGTAAATAAATAAATAAAGAGAAAAAAGAAAAAGCTCTTCTGTATTTCAGAAAGCCAACTAATACATATAGAAAGGATGATAGAATTTGAAAACCACCATTTGGCAAGGATCATTGTAATAATTCAAGCAAGAAAAACCAATGGATGATAAAACCAGAGGGTGAGGGAGTAATAAATGGAATTGTACATAGTCTCAAAGTATCTCCCCAGAAGACACACCTTCATCAAATGATAAAAGTTAACACTGTCAGTATTAGGACAAACAGATATTGCATGCCTCCAGGTAGGATACAATGAGAATTCTGCATCAGTTTTGTGAAATTCCAGCCAAAAAAATAATCATATCTGGTCTCATCAAGAGGAAACATTGAACAAACCAAAATAGAAGATCATTGTGCAAAATGACTGGCCTTGAATTACAAAAAAAATTCAAGGGGATGAAAAGCAAGATGAAACAAACAGTATGTGAGTAAAGACAGAAACTGTGTGAGAGTAAAGGCAGAGTCAGGGGAAACTTGACAACTGGGCACGAGGAGTGGGTCCTGGATGGACTCATGCAGCCAAGAAGGACCTTAGTGGACCACCATTGAACTTCTGGGTGAGGGATAAACAGGAATTCTTCAAACTAGTTTTGCAATATCTATATGCTTGAAATTGTTTCCTATTTTTTTTAAGAAAAAGAAAATAAAATTTAGCTCTCATATCCTTTTGGAAAAATTTTCAGAGCCTGCTCTGTGTTACCTCTGGACCTTGGGCAAACTGGTTATTTCGTGTAAAGTAATCTGCTTACTGTCTAGCTTCCTCACGAGACTGTGAGCTCCTTGAATGCCTAGACTGGGTATTATGCTTTTCCACTTCTCTTGGGCCTAGCACAATGTCTAGAAAGAGGGAACATCCAGTAAATGTTTGTTGACTCAATGTGCTGGGCAACTCATAACCCTGGAGATTGAATGGTAGATTCCTGGACATGCTGAGCGTGGGTAAACTCTTGCAGACGTTAAACTGAAATATGGCTCTCTGCAAACCAGAGAGCATCTGTCTGCCCTGCAGCAATGAGCTATGTGTCCTGGAACAGTGTCCTGCATCTAAGGGCTACAGTGCCTGAAATCATAGGCTCTAAGAAACGGTGTTCTTGCCTCATTGCTCTGGGGAGAACAATGGCCCCTGTTTGTTTAATCTCAGCCCACTGTGGCAGCCTTGACTGCACAGAGCTCACCTGTGATTCATGTGAATGTCATTTGAGCTCCCAGGAGTTTGCAGCCATAATTCAACATTTTGTTAATAGCCACTTAAAATGTCCCTGAAATAGCTAACAGGCCCAGGGGACTGAAGGTATTCTGCTAGGAAATCATTCCAAGAAAACCATCATGGCCCAAACTTTAGAAGATTCTATTACTTCCAATGCCTTCTTGCACTCTGTGAAAATAGAAATGGGCATCTCTCAGGGACATCAAGGAAAAAGTGGAAACCTGAAATTACCTATGTACCATAGTGGGCATGCTGGAGCTGCTGTCCAATCGCTCCTGCTCCAAGAGAGGCTCCTCAACTGCTATATCCAGGGGGGAACACAGCCCAGAGTATCCCAAGAGAAAAACCGCTTGTTCACAGAACAGAAAAATAGAGACAGAAAAAAATATAGTGCTGGATTAGAAGCAAAAAGTTGTGTGTAGGCAGGGATGGCAAGAGAGGGAAGGGTGAGAAAAAAACTCACATCGGTTGAGGCCTACTGTGCTATACAGTTTACAGATTATTTAATTCTCCCCAAATCTAATTAAACAATATACTCAGGGTCATCAAAGTTGTATACAATTGTAGCATATAATCATTAGGTCACTCAGATAGTATATGAATCAATAGTCTCTCTACAGAGCTCCAGCTCTTAATCGCTGACACTTGCAAATTCGTCAATTACAGCAAACTCGGGCTGGACATTCAAAAATCAAGTCATTGATTCAGAAGCAGAAGTTGAAGCTCTCAATGCTGAACTCTTGCCACCTGCTTCCTGACACATATCTGTTTGTTGTAGTTCTAATTTCTTCCACCTAGAGTGAGATTTAATATGGATAAGTGAAGGTGGAAAGAGCTAGTGTAGCAGAATCACATGCACATCTGGATAGGAACATTCATTTCCTAATTTGAGACCCCTGAGAAAACTAGTCGGCAACTTAGAGAAATGTCAACTGTTATCCTGGCAAGAAGAGACTTCTCCAGGTTCTCTACATTCCTGAAGCAAGTGCTGTAAAATGGCTTGGCACTCCAGCTGCACATTCCCAAGCACAGAATCAGGGTAAGATAAGATAAAACTAAAAATTAGTGCAGACTGGCAGAGCTAGAAGATTAGGAGTACCATAATCATATGCCCAACTCTCAGAGACAATGGTTCTTGTGATATGCAGATATCATGGTTGCAGGATCCTAAGCCTATCTTCCCCAGAAAAGGGAAAGTTTTATTCACAAAGTTGATGCAGAGAGTCCTGGTTGTGCTCCCTTTGAAACCAACTTCCCCAGAGATGCATGATATCAGCCTAGAAGCCACCTGCATATTTATCAAAAGAAAAGGTCTAAACTGGGACATCTCTCAGAATCACAGTCTTTTGACTACATTTGTGCTGCTCATTCCCCTCTGAGACTGGAATTGTGGCTGGAAGGCCTTGTTTTGGAAAGCTAGAATATTGTCTTGCAGCCCCAAACCCTTCATTTTGCCTTCTGCCACACAGAGCTGGGGCTATTTCACCTCCTCTCTGTTTACCTGCACAAGGGCAAGGAATGCAGGTAATAGCTAGAGGGCTACCTGGAAAGCTGAGCTCAACAGCATCAAGTTGAACCTACCCCTCCACTTACCATCCCTGCTTTCCTTCAGGTCCAGCAGCTACCAGGCTTCTGCTTTCAAGAGGAGGATATTGATAAACTGAGGGGCCTTGAGCCCTGACTGACTTTTTTGAACTAAGACCTAGAGACTTGCTGATGACTGGCCTGACTTCATTCAGCACAGCCCTGCACAAAAAAATATGATGTATTTACAGAGAACCCCCAAAGGGAATCAGAGGGCATGAGCTCTAATCCCTAATGGTGCCACTTTCTTACTGAGAGACCTTGTGCCAATCACTAAGCTTCTCTGAGCCGTACCTATGTTCAACTGTGAAACCGATATATTGGTACATGCTATGGTTTTAATATATATAGTATGTCCCCATAAAAACTCATGCTGAAGCTTGGTCCTGAATATGGTGGTGTTGGGGGATGGTCCCTTTAAGGGCTGATTACATCATTAAGATGAATTAATGTCTTTCTTGCTACATTGAGTTACTTCTTATAGGAATGAATTAGTTACCGCAGGGCAGATTGTTATAAAGCAAGATTGCCCATTGTGTTTGGCCTTTTTTGTATGCATCTGGTTCCCCTCCCATTTCTCTGCCATGTTTTGATGTAGCACAAGGTCCTCAGCAGACCTTTTCTTTTGATGAATATTCAGGTGGTTTTTGGGCTGATGTCATGCATCTTTGGGGCAGCTGGTTTCAACGGGAGTACAGCCTGAACACTGGGCATCAAACTTGTGAAGGAAACGTTGCTTTTGCAGGTGAAGATGGGCTTAGGATCTTGCAGTCATGATGTCTGCATATCACAAGCACCATGTCTCTGGGATCTGGGCATATGCCTGTAGTAGGCCTGATTTTCCAGAAGCTGCCAGATGTGGCTGCTCAGTGTTGAGTCTCCCAGCCTGCAGAATCATCAGTTAACTTAACTTCCTTTTTGTTTTTTTGTAAATTACCCAGTCTTGGGTATTCTGCTATAGCAACACAAAACAGAGTAAGACAGTACATTTTCTACTTTCAGAGTTACTGTGAGGATCAAATAGCAGCTAAGAAAGCATTTAGGATACAAACCCAGATACTTCATTCGTAACCTGCTTTAAACAATTACAAGATAATTGACTACAGACCAATTCTTCCACTTTTCTAAACCTCAATTTTTTTCCATATAAAAATGTCAAATATTATATATTTCACATGGCTTTTGTGAAGACCAAATGAAGTATTCCATGAAAAGTGCATAGAACAGTGCCTGGGATACAGTATGTGCTCAGAAAATGTTAGCCATTATTAACAGGTTTTGTAAGCTACACAGTGATGAACAAATAAAAGGACTTTTATCTTTGATGGGACCTGGGTATCTACAGGAGCTTATGCTCCACTGTAATAGCAGGAGCTGCTACTACAGGGCAGGAGTCCCTAGCTTGGTCACAGCCTCATTCCCCAGTCTCTCTTGGGACTTCCTGATATTACACTGTCAACATTAATTTCTAAAAAATGCTTTTGCTCCTGGATCTCCTGTCACCATGTTGTATCCCCAGCTCATCTTAGTAATAATAAAAGTAACAACAGTAATAAAAGAGCCGAAATTCTACATCTGGGATAATGCTAAAATGTTTACTCATATTATTTCACTCAATTGCTTTAAACAATCCTATGAAGTACCAGTATTATTATTATTATTATTATTATTCAATAGATGAGGAAATTGAAGTCTGGAGGTGTTAAGTAATTTGCACAAGGTCATGCATATCTGGAACCTACACCTGTCTGGCACTAAATTCCATGATTCTACCATGAGGCTAGAATACCTCATTATGTTATTATCTCAGGTGCCAGAGCTCTTCATCTTTCCAACAGTTGCCCAGCTCCCCATTTGCCAAATGTCCCTTTGTTGTCTATTATCAGTGCTCCGGGGCAGGGCATTCTCCCTGCCAGATTAGCCTCCTGCTAAACTCCTGTAGCTGGGTCTATCTCTAGCCCTACCACACCCAGAGTTATCTCTAGTCCATAAACCTCTCAGTCTCTGCAGCCCTCCAAATGGAGCCAGACCATACCCAACCACAACCCAAGATTTGCTCTCTAGGGTTGGCTCTAGCTCCCAGAATTTATAACAAATTCCTCAGGGAACGGCCTCTTGAGGAGGAGCCATGCATATACACTTTAGGAGACCCAGGTCATTTAACAGCCCCTTCAATCCTTGGCTTCTACCAGCCACACACTTCCCTCTCTCTGGATGAGCTGAAATATCCACTCTTTTGTCTCTAGAGAGTCTTATGTGGTGCCACTCTTATTCCTGACTTCTGAAACACTTAACTTCAAGACTATACAGTATTGGGAAATGGGGTGGTTCTGTAGTCTGGACGTGCTGGCTTGCATCTATTATCAGTTTTTTCCCAATGTTATCTGTCAATGGTCCTTGCCTCTGACCCCAACTATCTGCTCAGGAAGGAAATAAATCAAAGACTCTCAGAGTTGGAAGTAACTTTAGAGGTCATTAAATTCAACCCTTTATGTGACATCGATCTGTATCTACAGCATTGCCAATAAGCAATTGCTTGGCCTCAGCTAGAGCAGATGGCAGGGTACAGCATACTCTAGACTCCGAGGACAACTTCGAGTCTGCTGGTATCCACCTCTCTGAACTTGTACGCACCCATTGGTACTAGCTGTGCCCTCTGGCTTCACCCAGAGAAAGCCATGTCCCTCTTCTTTATGATTGCCTTCAAAGTGTTTTAAAACAGCTCTCATACTGCCCTCAAGTCACCCACTTCACTTTTCAGGCTGAACTGTCTCAGTTCTTTCATACACTCCTCATCACATATAGTTTCTGTGACATATGAGGAGCATCACCTCTGGTCAGCCATGCATCTCTCACTGCCTCCCACTTTACAGATGGGCCCGAGACACTGCCAACATCAAACGCACAGCCTCCTCTTCGTGGCTTGAAGCCAGACTGATGCACATTCAGGAGGAAGTGAAAGTGAAGGCTGGTAGAAGGGTTTTCAGAGAGAACAAACTTAGGAAATGAGACTGCAGGTGCTGGTAAAAGGGTGCGCTAGAATATTAGCATGTAACAGCTGGGAGAATGGGGATGGCTCAGCTCTTAGGAGATGGGAAACCTTGACCAGGGCTTTCTTCGGGCAAAAAACTCGAAGAGGGAACAAACCACCTGTGCTTATAGTAGTGAATTCTAATCAGAGAGATGCTCATTTGAATTATGAAGGTCACCCTTGGAAATTGTTGTCAGTCTCAAGTTGAAGATTTTGAAAGTCACAAGTTTTAAGGTTTTTTAAAGGTATTTTTTTTCCTAAGCCATACTTAGGTCCACATGCCTAGGCTATTTTCTATGTTACCAAATGGATGAAGAAGTTAAAACTAATCGATACACAGGTTGGGTTCCCTAGCAGAGCCTGAGATGGCATACCTTCTGCAGGTGATTTATTGAAGGAATGCACTCAGGAAAAGCCTAGAAGTAGGAAGGGAGAAGCACAGTAGGAGAAAGGGTAAGCATGAATGTGGTTTCAGGAGAAGTCCAGCTCAGCCTGATCCCACGGGAAGCACTGAGAATAAACTGCATCACGATGTATTCCATCTTGAGGCCAGATGACTGGCATTCCACACTTCCGTCAGTCAGTCACTGGCCACTGGCTGCCCCCAGGTGGTGGGGAGGTGAATAACTTCCCAGATGTCTCCAGGAGAGGCAGCACCTGCCAACCAAAGGCCAGCCTCCCTACGAAGACCGATTGCTGTTATGTGCCCTACCTACAGCTGCAGTAATGAGGATCTGGGCTGACCAACAGCATCTTCCACAGATACACTTGCTAATTCATGCAGGTAAGACCCAGAGTGGACCACTGCCCTCAACTGCCAGACTACTGTGCTGCAAACTTTGAGTCAGACCAATGAGCTTCAGCCAGGCATACATGGCTCCTGAAAAGGATTTTGAGAGCAAGATTCTGTGCCTCCCTCATCCGCTGCAGCCTCTCAGTGCATCTAGGTGTTTCTGCTTCCATTGTACATATCTATCTAAATAAAATTGTTATAATTAAACAAGCAAATACATAGATAAATAGATCTGATTGCAAATGACCAGCAACTCCTCCCCATTCCCAACATAAGTTAAAGTTTGAGTTTCAGCAAACAAACATAGGATCAGAAAACAAATGTTTATTATGTTCTATTGCATTAGAGAGGTACGGGTTGGCAAGTCCTTAGAAACCACCTAACTCCACGCCTTCATTTTACAGATAAGCAAACTGAGGCCCATTGAGGCTTATTACCTCCCCCAAAGGTTGTGCAGCTAAATTAACAGAGGTCAATAAATCCAGGCAAATACATTGCTTCTCTGTTACATGCTTAATTTCTTCTGAGCATAAATTTCAATAGCTACTGATGCAATCAATAGAGAATATATCTAAATCAGGAGAAAACAAGTACTGGGAGATGGAAAGATGCTTCGGCATCCAAAGAATGACACTTCGGGGAATGTTGTGCTCAAATAAAGCCCAACCTGATAAACAGGCTTTTATCAGAGAATTTCGATTTATCAAATAATAACCATGTAGTATATCTGAGTGTTGGAGACAGCCACTATGCAGTAACCACTAAACCCAGTCTGTATGGTTTTATGTCAAACGCATGAGTGAAATATGATATATGGAGTTTCCAGCTGGCAGGGGTGATAGAGGCTTGGTCTCAGGTTGTAATAGATCATGGGTCAAATGGCCTTGCTGGTCAATTCAGATATTGCTCCTGCTCCATCACACATAAACATCCTACAGAAAAGCAAAAGCACACAGCAAACTTTCAGGTCTCTCAGACTAAAAGGTGATACTGTTTTAGTCTCATGGAGGGAATGGGAAGGTTGGGACTTTGACATCTGGGCTGCTCTATGGAGCACCACCTATAATGGCAAACTTAGTGCTAACTGCTACCAATTCAGTCTTTGAGGGTTTTTTTTTTCTTTTTTGAGATGGAGTCTCACTCTGTTGCCCAGGCTGGGGTGCAGTGGCACAATCTCAGCTTACTGCAGCCTCTGCCTCCTGGGTTCAAGCAATTCTCCTGCCTCAGCCTCCTGAGTAGCTGGGATTACAGGTGTGAACCACCATGCCTGGCCAACTTTTGTATTTTTAGTAGAGACAGTGTTTCACCATGTTGGCCAGACTGGTCTCAGTCTCCTGACCTCCCTGTCTGCCCGCCTGGGGCTCCCAAAGTGCTGGAACAATAGGTGTTGAGGGATTTTTTTAATAAATCAAATTTCAGCTCTTAATGAAAGAAATCAGTAGCAAACTGGGATTCACTTTACCATTTTTTTTTTAAATTCAACTCTTTACTAATGGAAGAACTTTCTGTAGAGGGGAAAAGAGAACTACAATAGAGAACAAGAAAGAAATCAATGCCCCAGTCAATAAGCTTACAGTAGCTTTCAAAGCAGTTCTAGAGGTCTAAGATCTTCCAGAGGAAGAGGCACAGACCTACAGATTCACCCAACAATCAACTAGACATTATCTACAAACTTGTGCAGTAGCTTCAGTTTTTTATTTGCGAGTAGACGATATGGGTCATCAAAATAGTCAGCTCTCAGTCATTGTCTTACCCCTTCATCACATCGGAAAGAATTTGATATACCCCTGAAAGCATGACTTTCAGAGAGCTTACAGTTTAAAGTTCTGCAAAGAGGAAGATCCCAAACAGAGGCTGGCATCATGGAAAATTTGCTTAGCTTGACAAAGGTTGCCTCTTCAAAGGCATGTCAAATGCTCACAAGACTTCGGGGCATCCTAAGGAATATGAGAAATTATCTATTTTGCATTTGTTGCAATTTAGGCCATTTTGACATAGAACCTAGGGACTTTACAGATAGGGGAGAGTCAGGTTCTACATCTATGTGCTGAGGCTTGCAGTGTGCATGGTCTTGCAAGAAGAACCAGAGTTGACTCAAAGTTGGGCCTCATCATGAAGCAGGGTTAGGCCTGTCAGGATGTGTGACTTGGTATAAAGGAACACATCTCTAGTGTACCTTAGCAAATATTCAAAAAACAGCGGGACCAAAATGGCATCAGATAAACAAGCAGCTGTACTATTAATAAAGTGCCACCAAAGGAGAGTAACTGGTGTTCAGTTTTGAACCTAAAAGGAAGGAATCTCCTAATGACCTCAAGACTACCCACGGGACTCAAGAAGAGAGCAAGCTAACAGTGATTGGGCGTGTACTGGAGGGCCAACGTGGCACAGATGCACAGAAAGTACGATCCCAGGCCTAGTAATATACACGTGCACACGCTGCATGGCTGAGTAGGAGTACTCCGAAAATGCTAACATAATACATGTAATTATATCTGGGATGTGATTAAGGGCAATTTTTCTTTTCTTTTCTTCTTTTTTTTTTTTTTTTTAACAGGGTCTCACCCTGTTGCCCAGGCTGGACTGCAACTTCAACTTCCCAGTCTTAAGCTAACCTCAGCCTCCCAAGTAGCTGGGACCAGTTGTGTGTCACCACGCCTGGCTTGTCTTTGTACTTTTTTATAGAGATGGGGTTTCCCCATATTACTCAGGTGTCTCCATTTTTTATTATTTCCCACACTTCCCAAATTTCCTCTAATAAACAAGGATTACTTCTATAATTAGAAAGCATATTCGTTAGCAATAACAATAATGGGAGAAGTCATCCCAATGCAGGTGGAATCCTGGCTACCCATGATGAAAAAGGAAGCTGAAAAACAACAATTTCACCATATATCAGCTAGAGTTACCTTACATTAAAAAAACTTCAAACCCGCTTTACCCAAACTCTGAAGAAACAGTCTAACAACTATGTGCTAAGCAATTCTAGGTGCCGAGAATACAAGGATGAGTGAAGACATCAGGTCTTATGAGGAGGGGAGAAAAAAGAAATAAGCGATTTGTAAAAAGTATCACCGGTTAGCAATGAGACGTTACCTCACACTTGTTAGAATAGCTGTTATCAAAAATACAAACAATAACAAACATTGGAGAGGAGCAAGGTGAGCCATTGAACACTGTGGGTGGGAATGTAAATTAGTGCAGCCATTATGGAAAACAACATGGAGGTTCCTCAAAAAATGATAAATAGAACTACCGTATGATCCAGCAATCCCACTACTGGGTATATCTCCAAAGGAAAGGAAATCAGCATGTCAAAGAGACTCTGCCCTCCCATGTCTATTCCAGCACTAATCACAAAAACCAAGATATGGAATCAACCTAAGTATCCGCTGACAGGTGAATAAATAAAGATTTGTGATATATAGACACAATGGAATACTATTCAGCCTTTAAAAAAGAAGTAAATCCTGTCATTTGTGAAAACATAGAGGAACCTGGGGGACATTATGTAAAGTGAAATAAGCCAGGCACAGAAAGACAAATACTGCACGATCTCACTTATGTGTGGAATCTAAAAAGGTCAAACTCATAGAAACACAGAGTAGAATGGTGATTATCAGGGACCAAGGAATGGGGGCTGGTTAGGTGAAATACGGGTCAAAGAACATATAATTTCACTTCAACAGGAGAGTCAAGCCCAAGAAATCTATTGTACATCATAATGCCTACAGTTGATAACAATATATTGTTAAATTGAAAATTGCAAAGGGGGTATATTTTAAGTGTTTTTACCATCCCCTAAAGAAAATGGTAAGCATATGACATAATGCATATGTTAAATCGTTACGTTTAGCCACTCCATGCTGTATACGTACATCAAACCACAAGGTTATACATCATACATATATGGACCTTTTACTAATAAACTTTTTAAAATTAAAAATTGTCAGTAGTTAAAAAACTCAGGTATTAAATTAAATCATTTCTAAGGTCTCTTTTAGCCCAAGCACTTCATGATTCTAATGCAAGAAAAAGCCTAATGACTGTTCTAACAGAGGAATGAACCAAAATGCTGTTTAGAAGACAGAAGAGAAAGAGAGCAATTTAGATTATGGGGATGGGAAGGGGATGGGCAATGGTTTCCTGGAGAAGGCTACAGTGACGATAAAGCTGGATTTTGAAGGATGACTAGGATTTAGATAAATAGACATGAAGGAAGAGGTATAAAAAGTGAAGGAGTAGGAAAGGTCTATGAGCAAAGGGTTCTGGGTTCATTCCAGAAACAGCAAGTAACTATTCAATCAACGAGCCACGACGGGGTCATGATATTTCCTGTGGGCAGGCCCTGTATTTAGCATGATGTATGCAGATTCTGGGTTTAATGACACTACATTCTTGCACTCAGCTATCACCTCATCTGAAGGGGGTGGGAAATGGGCTGGGATCTCTACAATGGCAAGGCTCCAGTCTATTTTTATCACACTGCACAATAGGTACTCGATTTGATTGACAAAGGAATAACCATGCATGAAGCACTATGACACACTGCCATAAAAGCTGTGCACAGGGTGGGTAGGTCACCCATTCCCATGGTGGGGGCAGGGGGTGGCTGGCACAGGACAAGTGAGCTTCCTAGAGTTGAGTTTGGCAGCATGAGATTCAATGTGGAAGCCAAAATGGTGGGCAAGGAGAGGACGTTGGAGCAGCAGAATTAATATGAAGAGCACAGAGGAAAGTGAAAGCTTAACATATAATGAGAATTGAGAATATCATCACACAGCAGTTGCCTGTGCTCCAAAGCCATAGTATGGATTAGCGGGCAAAGCACCGGACTGAGAGTCGAGTGAGCTCCTGTGGGACAGTAAGCAAAGCAAGGGACCTACCCTGCTCGAAGCACCTGCGGCATACTAGGCCTTCACATACTTTATGTCACTGAATCAGCACAACAGCTCTGAGTGGTAGGTACTATTGTTCCTTGTTTAGAGATGAGACAACCAAGGTTAAGAAACTTGTGCAAAAATATACTGCAAATTGGTGGCAGAGTTGGAATTCCAACAGATTTTTTCCCCCAAACTCACATTCTTCTCCTACATGTTCCTGGTGTAATAATAATATCTTTTTAAAGGTAGTTAGACTAGATTAGCTATAGACCCATTTGGCCTTGTGCAAGAATTCCAGAGATGTGATCTGCCGAAATCTTCACCTCCACCATTTCTATAATGTTAGGTGATGTCAGTTAACAAGATCCATAAAGTGCCTCTAACAAGATCTCACAGTGGAGAGACCTTTCTTTTGTTAAGGAAAAAAAGAAATATACGTCCTAGTAAATCTCACTTTTAAAATACAAACACACACCACTATGAAAGTAGGTTAAGTGTGTAAACTGAAGTGTCATTTGTATTCCTATACTTACAGTCAGATGAACCCTGATGTGATGAGCAGATAAACCACATAAAACAGTGATGTCGTGGTCCAAACAGTGGGGCCACCACCTGTCAGCAAGGGTTAACTACCGAACCCAACTGTGACCTCCATTCTAAGAAACTCCATCTTCATCAGGTTGGATTTAACCCCACCGCCCCAAACAGAGAAAGAAGTAGCTACCTCTACCTCCCTGGTTCCATCTTCTATAGCATTAGCCATCAAGTCTGACTCCTGCAAACAGAGCAGTTTGGCTGGGCAACAATAGCCCGACTGCTCATATGGAAACCAACCCTGCCTTCCATCTTTGTTGCTGGCACACTGTACAAAAGGACTTTCCCATAAATCACCTCCCAACAACACTGGGGTCAGAAAGTCGCGTATTATTATCACATGTGGGATGACCAAGTCAAGACCTAGAGAGGATGTGAGACACAACTGGGGAATAGGAAAGACTGGGCTTCCAGTCTTTATCTTTCCGCTCTTCATTTTCAACTCAGATTATCCAACATCATGGCCAGAGACACACTCCTCCCTGCTTCCTGCCACTCTAGGTCAAGGGGGCAACCTCCTCTAAGTAGACAGTCTGGAATCAAAGCCATCTTCTGCTTTTCCAGGAAGGAAAAAAATAGGTACTTACCTGAAGTCAAAGCGTCCTAGGTGAGGGCTGAGGGTACCTGCATGAGCATGAAGCACACCTGTTTACACAGTAGTCAGCATCCCACACCTGGCTTTTCTGAGATTTTTAGCCTCCACACAGCCTTCTCTCACTCTGCCAGAATCATGGGTCATTCACTAATTAAAGGGTATTACGCACTTCACTGCACATCAGCTAAGAACTTGGAATAAGGAAGCTTATGCTACAGTATTAGCACTGGAGATGCTGCTAGGTATGCTTTATAGGAATAAAAAAAAAAAAAAAAAAAAACAGAGAAAAGCCATCCATTTGTGGTAGCTCTTTCCCCATACCTAACTTCTCTAATAAGTCAGCCACCACACTTAGAGAAAGAAGTCATCCAGCATGGTACAACCCCAGACAGAGCCTCATAAATAAGCCAACTGGAGAGGGTTGTACAGCAGAGAATGAATAAGAGAAGGCTGGCCAGGTGGCTTCTCCAACAGCCACCTGTCCAAGCTCTCTGCTGTCTTCTGGTATAGCAGCCCAATAATAATGATGCTTATATCCCAGGCCAAAAAAAGACAGAGGGACAAAGGGTGAGTCAGGAGGAGGACTCCTCACTGTAAGGTTTGAGCAAACTCAGCATCATGTTCCCTCTAGCAAAGGCTCAGCACTGCTGCCCACTGTGCCCTGCTGGGGGCAGAGACCAGCCTCCCTGCTGGAGCCTCCTTCGGCTGTCCTGGAGTAGATGCTTTTTCTGACACTCCCTGAATAACGTGAGCAGCAGCCCTGAGGCTCACCCCCTTTTCAATGCTGGGGAAGGTAGTACATAGAGTGTCAGCCCAAGCAATGAACACTCAAATAGATTAGTCTTGAACTTGGTGAGGACAGCAGATAATGACACATCACTGACAGAGCAGTAAACCTTCTCCATAGGCAATTTCACTATTTGGGAAATATTACAAAGAGGTTGAAAACTCAGGAGACCTTTAAGGCCTGACCTTAAAGGCCTCTTGGGACCCCAGCAAGTCAAATGATCAGCCAAGTATAAAACAGTAGCCTGGGGTCCAAAAAACATTTACTTCTAAATGGAACTTAGACATGGATTCAGAAGAAGCCACCAGTTGGACATGCAGTCAGTAGGAAGCTAGAAAACTCAACCCAGAATCTGCTACCTATTACAGTGTCTGTGTCACCCTGTGTCGTCTGTGTATTCCATGTGTGTTCAGGCAGACAGTGGAACAGCTGAAAGCATTTCCAAGCTGCACGGCGCAGTGGTGAAGCTGAGTGTTGCCAGGCGCTAGAAAGAACGGGGTGGAATATAGTGATGGCTTCAGCCTCCAAAAATAAGGCACTTTCTCTATCTCTCCTCAAGCCACCTAAGACATCATTTGTGCATGACATGTTTTAGGATTCTGCTTGCTCCATTTAGAAGGGCTTCCAATATTGCTGGTCCCTTCCCCCAGCTCAGACTGGCTTTCTCTTTAGCATACACTACTGATTTTGCTGTGCTCTCCTTACCAGGTTGAAAAGGGATAATACAAAACAGCTCCTACAAGAAACAGAGTTCTAGCACACAGACGACGAGAGGCAATGCTCCCAGCACTCTGGGCTTTTCCAGAATCAGAGATAGCCAACAGCAATCACAGAGGCTGCAGGCAGAGACTGGTTATAACATTAAAAGAACCTCAGAGCAAGAGGCTGGTGAATCCAAGAGGGGGTGGGGAATGGACGCACCACAGGAAAGGTAAGAAGAGCCTTCATTAAGCAGAGGACCCCAGACAAGTGCTGATATCACAGGTCAGTTCCTTCCCAACTGCTATACCTGCCATTCCCAACTCGCAATTGCATTTTGGCTCAAGGTTCTGAGTTTCAAAAGCTCTCAATCCTCCCTAAGGCAGCTATGGGGGAAGCAGCCACACAGCACTTCTGCAGGGTCCCACAGCCCCTGATGCCTAGACTTGCCTGGCATCAAGGAGAAGCCACAGCAGCTGCTGTCTGACCTATCATGCCAAGTTATGTCTAGCAGCCCACTAACTGAGCAGAGAACCCTGACAGCAATACTTCTCCTCTCAACCTTTCCTCTCTGGCCCTCCAGAAAGCCCCATGCTGAACGTAAGCCACATCCCCCTCTGCTTTTCCTCTTTACTCAGCTCCACACTCCTCCTCCAGGCTTTCCATTCCCACAGCTGTTCGCCCCCTCCCTGCACCCCTCCTCCTGCATCCACGTCGTTAAGCGATTATACATAGAGAAAACCAAGCCTTTGAGTTTCAAGCCAAAGCTCCCAGACAAGGCAACCGGGACTGGTTCACCCTCACGGGCATCTCCCCAACCGCCTTGCACACGTGCCTCCTCCCAGATTCTCCTCTCTGCCCAAACACTCCGAACATCTCTTGGCTTCAACCTGCCAACAGATCAGATGGATCCTTGGGGTCCCTGGCCTCTCCTCTCCCCACATGGAGCTCAGAATTCACACAAGAAAAGGAAGCAAGGAGACTTCCACCCCTCTGCAGCATCACCTGCTCCAGCAAGCTCCCAAAGCCACTGGAGCCAGGCAGGCTGCCTGGGCCCCACACCCCCTCCTCTGACGGCTTTAGCTCCAGCCCAGCCCACAGGATGCAGTGCCTGATGCCACTTCCGAGCAGAGAGGGAGACACACACACACACACACGCACACACACACACACACACACACACACAGAATGCCACCTCATCAATGACAAGCTGTTCCAATTACACAGCTTGGACACCAAGCCTACCGGACAACAGACAGCCCAGTTCTCCTCTCTCTCTCTCACCGGGAGGAAGCCAATTCAGCACGTCTGAAGAAGTGATCCCCCACCGCAAGCCCCCTGCTCACCCTCCATATTTGAACTGACAGCAGTGTTCCATCCCGGCCAGTAGCCTTCGCTGCAACCAGCTCCCACAACTCTGACCAACTACCCTCGTGGCCATCGGCTGAGGCACTCCTCTCTCTCCTGTCCCAAAGCACAAGGAGACCCCAAACCAAGCAGGAGACCACCGGCGCTCCACGTCTCCAGAGGACCAGACAAAGTAAGCTGAAAACCAAGTACTCACTGTGGTGAAGTCTTGGTGGCCGCACTCCTGCCCTTTGAACTTGCAATAGAGCATCATATCCTTCAAGTCATGGCCCACGCGGTGCAGGAACTCCAGCATGCTGAACTGCTTGGGTTTGTAGTGCTTGAAGTTGGCCTTCTGCCGCAGGGCCTCCAGCACGGAGGGGTCAGCCAGATGGGGGTCTGGGATCTGCAGGTTGACATCCAGCAGGGCCAGGAGCTCCCCAGCGTGGTACAGGTCATTGGTGGTGAGCCTGGAAAACCGGAAGCCATTGAGGTTACAGAGGGTCACAGCTGGGAAGACCAGGCTTTGAGCCACCACTTCGTCCACCTTGGTGACGTGCTGGTAGGAGAAGTAGTAGGACACTCTCTCCGAGCTCTCCACCAGCAGCAGGCCCAGAGAGCCCACGAAGGCCACTGCCCAAAGCACACGCCGGATGGTCAGCGGCCCATACACGAAGATGTGGCGGATGCCGTGGAGGGTGGAGGTGTTGGCAAAGATCTGGATGCCAGAAGGTTGCAGGCTGCCCTCACTGGGGCTCTCCTTGAGGTCCATCGGGACCCTGTGCAGTTCCGCAACTGGCTTCAGGTCGATCGAATTTCAGAGAAGAGTTCCCAGTCCTCGGGCTCTGCTTAAACCTTGACGTTCAGGGAAAGAGAACGTAAGGCAAGCATCAGGCCAGACGCTGTGAGTTTATCCTGAGATCCCAGCCGCACGCTGACAGGGGTGAGTGTTTATGTAAAACCCATTCAAACTCTAGCTCCTGATTTTTTCCAGGCGATAAGGAGGGCTGGTTTTATTTAGGGAGACACCAAGGTGATGTGGAAGAGCTGTGGGTGGGAAGGGAGAGCTTAGCCAATGGAAATAAAGTCCTCCCCCCTACACACGCCACTAGAGACAAGATTAAAAGCGAGAGCGAGGGAGAAAAATGCTTAAAACAAGTCGCTGAGCAGCTTGGAGCCTGTTAACCAGCGCAAAATGCCCCATGTTCACCATCCTGGGGGATGTCAGGGCGGCCACGCTGATGCACTGCGGTCGGGCACAGCGGCGCAGCCTTCACAGCCGCCGCCGCTCGCTTCCTTTCCCCATGATGTTTTGGACTCCGGTTGCCGTTTCTCGCTGCCGGCCTCCGTCCCTCCTCTCCTCCTCCTCCTCCAGGCCCCCTTTTGTGGGCAGAATTCCAAATGCCAGCGGCCGCGGCTAGCACTGGGGAGAGGAGGCAGCGCGCGGCGAGGAGAAGCGAGGACCGGTATCCGGAGACTGGGGACGGAAGCGGGGGGCTCAGAGCGGGGCTCCATTCTCCTCTCCCCGCGACCTTCCGGGAAAAAGGGGCAACCCCCAGGTCGCAGAGTCTGCCGGCTTCCTTCGCCCCAGCTCCCTGTCCCTGCTAGGCTGGCTGCCTTGCGGGGGAAGGGCAGGGCGGGGGAGAAGGGCTAGTGGGGGCTGGGGACTTTCTCTAAGTTTTCTCTTTAGCCTTTTCTGGAGAGAGCTAGTTGGGGTTTCTCGGGGGCTGACCTGACAGTCTGCCCCCCCACCCCCCGGGTGGAAGGAAGGCAGTGCTAAACTCCCAAGAGCCAGGTGTGAGGTTGGAGGCGGCGTTCTTTTGCTTCAATATCTGGGATCCCAGGTGAAACCCAGCCTGGGATCTCCAGAGGGTAGAATGCTAAAAATGCAGAAAGAAGGGGGCGATCTCAACCCACAGTGCCTCTGCTTTAGGCAGCGAGAGGGCATTCTAGGAGAGCAGCCAGGAGACCCTCCTGAGACAGAAAAGCCGGGTTGCCCCCGGAGACCCACAGAAAGATCAACAAGTAGTCCCCTCCTCCACCTCCACAGAGTCTGTATTTGAAAGAGAAAGACAACTGGGTGTGTGCATGTGTGTGTGTGTGTGTGTGTGTGTGTGTGTGTGTGTGTATTCTGACCCTGGATTTGTCAAATGGAAGTACAGCTGGAATTAAAAGTGGGAGCAAAGAATTCGGCTTTCAGTCGCCTACCTTTTTTCCTGAAATTCCAACAGCAGTCCTCTCCTGCTAGCAGGTGAGTGTGGCTTGCCCTCTTGCCCCATGCCAGAGCTCAAATGGCTAGAACCTACTGAATTGATGGTGCAAATCCCTATCAGGAGGAAGGGAGCAGAAAGTCTGATTGGCCATCCCAAGCCACACTGCCAAGCTGGGGCAGAGCCACATGGAGTCACCTTTATGAGGCAAACTCTCATCTTCAGGCCTTTCCAGGCTTAAATCATATTCCTTGTATGAGGTTGGAGAAGGCAGCTGAGGGCACGTCCCTCTAGGTTTAGCTCTACTCGGAAATATGTTCTTATCCCATCTGGACCCCTGCTAAACCAGATCCCCTGATAGTAACATCCAGGTACACTCTGAAGCAACCTGTAGCATTAAATTGGTAATTTATTGACCCTGGGAGCTCAGATAGCAGAATCCTCACAATCAAGCACAAATGGCAAAGGCTGGTAAACCTCACAGATGTGTTAACTCAGAGGTCCTGGATTCCTGGGATACAATACAGGTTTTTGAAGTGGAAGGACCAAAATTAACAAAGGACTACCATGTGTCAGGACCTATGTGAGGGTGTCATATCACCTTACTTATCCCTCTTAACTATCTTGACAGGTACATATTCTTGTTATTACCCTTATTGCACAGGTGAGGAACCTGGGACTCACAAAATAAAGTGTTGTGCCAAGTTACAGTTAGTGGTGTCAGAGGCAGGACTTAAACTCAGGCATATTTGTCTCCAAAATGCAGATTGATAAAGCAAATCCAGAACACTTTCTCAAATTTAGAAAGAGAGCAAGACTTTCTATGCTTTGCCCCTGATGACACACATACACACTCACATACACACATGAGTTCCTCACTTGTACAAAACAGCTCTATGCCTTTTTTTCTACCACATCATGCCTCTGTTGTCCTTTTTTTTTCCCCAGCTCTAGGCCCTCTCCTACAGGAAGACTTCCTGAATTTCTCTGCTAATCTTCAGCTCATCCACCTGTTTAATAGGTATGTTGGCCTCTAACTCTGTAGCAGGCATTGTACGGTTTTGGGAAAACAAGCATAAATGAGATACATGTACTGCCTCCTGCCTTTGATAACTCAAGGATCAGTGGGGAAGGAAGCAGAGATAGGTACGCACACAAGTCCCTGCTCCACGACGTGGACAGTGAGAGAAGCAACATGGCTCGTGGATTCCTGGTATTAGCACTGCCCAGCTGGAAATCATGTTGCTCCAAATCCCCTGATGTTCCTGCCACCTCCAGCCCTCTCCCAGGTCATGTCCCACCCTCCTCCCCACCAGTCCAGATCTGTTTTCTCCATGAAGGCTCTTCTTTTCACAGAATCATATTTTCTCTCACTTCACATCCCAGGCATGTTTTCTCATGTGTGCAGAGATGGGACTTGGAGTTGCTCTAATTGTTCCTTTCCCATTTAGACCCTTTGACTGCTTACCTCTACCCCTCCACATTTGCTTGTTCTGAGGATTACAAACATAACATGGTGGGATAAGGTGGTAGAGTCACCCAGGCCTGAATTTGTATGTCTAATCTGCTCTGTCTCCTATTGCTCTGTGAAGTTGGGGGAAGTGACTAAACTTCTCCAAACTTCAGTTTCTCCATCTCCAAAATGATGGAGCTTAGAATGCCTGCCTCTTAGAACTTTTGTGCAAATGAAATGAGATATAAAGTGTCTGGTACAATTTAGACACTTAGTAATTGACACTATCTTGATGACTATGAAGAGAACATTCTTTTTTGATGTTGGTACTCTCTTACAGGTGATTGGAGAACCAATTAAAGCTCTAGAAGACATCATTTGCCCAGAGCAGTGTTTACCTGTCAGTGTCACCATCCCTTCCCATAGACCAGGGTCAAAGACATTCCTCATGCTGTTTAGCTTCCTATCCATGGCCTTAAGGTCTTCTGAAGTAGCTCTTGATAAGAGCTTTCCAAGAGGGTGAAGAAATTTAGGTGGGAGGCAGGGACTAGAGAAGAGCCCTAATGGTGGATTTCACAGCTGGGCACTTGGCTCTGTGCTTGACATTTAGTGGATGTTATCAGTAACTCTGAGAGGAGGGTACTGCCAAGCCCATTTTACAGATGAGAAAACTGAGTACAGAGAAAAGATCAACTTGTCCAAGGTCCCTCAGCTGAAAAGTGGCAGAGGGTTTAAATGTTAAACGCAGGTATGTTTGAGTCTGAAGGGTGTGGACCACAAACTCAGTACAAATGCTGCAACAAGACCTCAATAGCACAGACCATCACAGCAACAGTCTTAAACAGGAACTGAATTATAGAATATTCTTCAAGAAATACTGCCGTAATATTTTCTAGCATATGTAGCAATTCAACCTGATGGCTAATAAAATGTTTCTATATATCTGTTCTTAAAAACCCTCTTTAATTGATAATACTCATTTGCAATTAGCTGTATGGTTTACATAAAGACACCAGATATCCTATGATTCTTAAAAATGCTTTTGTGTTACTTAGTTGGTTAAACATTCCCCTCTTCGATCAGATTTACAATACCTATTTGCTTGGCACTAGAGGTAACAGATTGGTTTTAGAGTGGGTCAGTTTGGTCCAGATTTTCAAGCATGTACCTAATTGTGTATAATTATGGTCTTTTTAGTGAAGTATATGACAAAACATTAAAGAACTTTTCAGACAAACTCATTTGCAAATCGGGCAATTTAACCCCTTATTAGACCACATGCCCAGATTTCTGCTGTGGCAAGTTTATTCACTTATGAATAAATAAATGAAGTCAGGAATTAATTTACTTTCTATGACCCTGAGATTGCTACTCTGAGATGCAAGGAGGGGGATCCTCTTCTAATCTTGGGGAACCTAAGACCAGCCCTGAGCCTGGTTTCTGGGGAGGGTCAAAAGCTCAGAGTGCAGCCTCCTGCCTCTGCAAAGAGTAACAGGCAGGAGAGTTAAGGAAGCTGAGATCTACCATCAGCCCAGCTCTAATGCTAATTTTCTACTTAACACGTGCTAGGTACAGGCCACTGCCCCCCCACCCCCACTAATAATTAGGGGGAAAAAACTTTCTTTTCTAATAAACAAATGACATTATAATTGGAAACTCAGTGATCTTAAAATACTACTTCTCCCTGTGGTTGTCATTGCCATAAAGAAGAGTTAAAGATTAACTATTGTAAAACTAAAGCATCTCTTTACTGTTGGTTGGTTTATAAATAAACAACTCATACAACACGTATTTCTGTTTAAGTTACCTCGTGAACACTTGGCAAGTAATTTGTCATCAGGAGTATACCAGGAAAGGGTGCGAAGCAAAGCCAGACATTCAATGGGTAGTTTACTGAGATTTTATTTATAGCTGGTTTTCTTTTTTTTTTTTTTTCCAGGCAAAAACTACAGAACCAGTCCACACTGAGTGGACCTCTGGGGCTCCCAGCTGCCAGCTGACCTGAACCCCAGAGGTGAACCTGTGTTGCTCTGTGGCTTCAGGAATCCTAGTAACATCACTGTGCTTTTTTTTTTTTTTTTTAATTATTATTTGTGCTAAATCATTCCTGAAGCCCCTCCTCCTGCTGCAATTTGACAAGTCTTGACCAAATCATAAACTCCCAGTTAATGGGATAAAAATGAGTCTGAATCTAGGATTCTGGTCATTAACCCCATGTCACCATCTGCTCCAGCGGTTTGATGGCAGGGCCAGGTGAATTCTAATCACCCAACACTTGTTAAACTGCAGATTCCTTCTTCCTTGCCCCTGCTGACTCAGCATCTCTGGGGTGGGGCCTGCGAAGACTCTTTTCCTTTACAGTGTAATTGCAGGCAGCTCTCTAGGAACCCACCAGGACCAGACCTGATGAGGAGTTCCTCATTTGCATCTGGCATGCCAGGTCGGTTTGTGGAGTTTCATACTTGCATTTTACTCTGCCTGGAGAGCTCCTTGCAGCTGGCTTCTTCTGTGTCACAGTCCCCAGAGGGGTCTTGTCTCCCTATCTCCACCCAGCACACTGCTCTCTATTCCATTACAAGTTTCCTTTTCTACCCAGTACTAATTATTTTCTGCAATTCATCTCATCTTTTTGTGAACTATCTGTTGGTCCTACTGGAATATGTCTCCACATGGGGGCAGAGACCCTGCATGGCTTGTTAGAAGCTGTAACCCCAGCATTGAAGCATATGAGGGATGCTCAGAAATATAAGAACTGATGAACAAATGAACACATGAGTGAATTCATTCAGCTCTGATGCTGAGG